CTCTCTCTCTCTCTCTCCATCTGCTGAGAGTCACTCAAGCAGCTTAGATCAGACACTGCAGCGCTCCAGACAAAGGAAGGTGCTGCCAGGAGCACAGCTACCTCTATCTGGTCTGTTACACTTAATGTGGACAGGGAAACCTCAGGCAGCATTACTTTACAAAGACTTGGGGTGGGAAACCTTTTGTAAAAGCTAAATTACCTCTAACTAACATGTTTCCACTTCTTGTCTTTCACAGTCCAGTTCCACATTGCTCATTTGTATGAGATTCAGGTAAGTGCTTGCTCTTTTCTTTAACCTTCCCTCAGTTTGCTCCCAAGGACACAAGTCATTTGTGTTATTTCTGTCACTTGTAATTGTGAGCGTGAAGTGCTGCATGCTGATTTAATGTCCAGCGCTGAGCTTGTACCTTTTATCCCCACCACCAGTCTTAAATCACAGGGTCCACCAATGCTGGGGATAGCCTTGTTTTTTTTGTATCTCGAACCAGGTGCTGACAAATTGAGGAGGGAGCAGGGTGCTTGCATGAGTGGGTGGTATGCGGGAGGGGATAGGAGATTACTCTCAGCCGATCGACGGGGTTGCCACGGAAACAAGAAAAGTCTGTCTCCCCCCTCTTTTGTATGCTGGTGGTCGCTCTCGCTTTATTCCGGTTTCAGTGGAGAGGTACAGTAGCGCTCAGCAGCTTTGGGAGTAGTGGCGCTTCACGACTCGCGGTTGTTGTTTTAAAATCAAAACACAACACTGCACTCGAAGTCTCAGTCTCACGGAGCCACTGAGCAGCAAATATTTAGATGCAAAACTGCATTTGGAGGAGTAGGGATGGCTTGAATTTGTGATGGTATAAACAACTTTACCCTTTTCTAATTTTTGTGTTTTCTCCCCTCTTTCCCCCCCTCGCCACCTTCTCCTACTCCTTTTCTGTTTAACATGCCCTCTACCAACCCCTTTCTATTCCCCACATCCAGAAGAGATACCGGGCTGCCAAGGAGGCCTATGAGAGCCTCCTGCAAACGGAGGATCTTCCTGCACAGGTGAAGGCCACTACCCTGCAGCAGCTTGGTAAGTCGGCGGTAGTTTGGCAAACACAATTGCTCGGTGTTAAGTTTGTGTAGATAGTGAAAGCAGCGTTTATGCAGATTCTTTTGGGAAACTTTATTTACTTGTGAAACTTGTGTTTGTTGGTGCTATGTGTTATTTAGTTATTTAGGTTTTCTTTGCAGATGAGTCAGAAATTCTTTGTTGAAATCTTCGGAGATTAAGCCCAACATCGAGACACATTTTGGATTTAAGTGTTGAAAATTCCTCTTTATCTTAAAGAGACTGCTTAATTTGACATCTTCTAGGCTGGATGCATCACACAGTTGAACAGCTCGGGGACAGAGCCAGCAGGGACAGCTATGCCATCCAGTGTCTGCAGAAATCTTTGGAGGCCGACCCCAACTCTGGACAGTCCTGGTACTTCCTTGGCAGGTACGTTGCAAAAACATTATTTGGTTAATATTCAACCTTTTTTTTTTCCTTCATTTATCTGAAAGAAATTTGATGTATTATCTCAAATATTGGAGTATTTGTCTGTTCACATCCCACTTGATGTGCTTGTTTTATTTGTAAAATATACACAGGAAGTCAAGTCTGATGCTTAACAAATAACAACTATGTATCCTCACATCTACATTTCATGTGATGAATAGTTTCCCATGTCTGTAGCACGACCCTGACAGCCCGTGTCTCCTGCAGGTGCTACTCTAGTATTGGGAAGGTCCAGGACGCCTTCATCTCCTATCGGCAATCCATAGACAAAACAGAGGCCAGTGCAGATACCTGGTGCTCTATAGGGTAAGCATCATTTAGGCTGGAGTTGGTCCCTATTGTCAACTGAATGGATATTTTGGAATGACCTAAATCCTCATATGTTTCTTCTCAGGGTGTTGTACCAGCAGCAGAACCAGCCCATGGACGCCCTCCAGGCCTACATCTGCGCCGTGCAACTGGACCACAGCCACGCCGCCGCCTGGATGGACCTGGGCACGCTGTACGAGTCCTGCAACCAGCCGCACGACGCCATCAAGTGCTACATCAACGCCACACGCAGCAAGGGCTGCACCAACACCACCGCGCTCACCCATCGCATCAAATGCCTGCAGGTGGGTGGAGAGAGGGATTTCAATCAGGAGGCGGCTGTTTGGATGCAGCTGCAGCCTGATAATCCCAAATATGAAGCTGAGATGCACTTGTCTCCCAATAACAGACTTTTACAGGTGAGCCACCTGCAAAATGTGGCTGAAATAGATGCAAAGTGACTGAAATGACTGTCGTCACTTTGCTCTCTACACAAACTGCCAGCGTAAATATCTTTAATTGAAAGTAGCGACGTTGATTTTTCTGGCCTAAGGCAGTAAAACAGGTTTTCTATAATATTTTTTATACTCACTTATTTAATGTGGAAGTGTCAAGAGATGAGCATCAGTGTTTTTTACCGCTGCTCCGCTTGGTGGTAACTGATGCATCCGGCTGTATCATTCATTTCAGCTGCTGGCTGCCGTTAGTTCGTTCACCGTGCTCGTTCACCGTGCTCTTAACAGAACTCAGTTCGGTGCACATACAAGTAAAGCATCAGAACTGTATTAGGCTTTATTTAGCAGGTGCAGATCTATTGATCGATTGAAAAATACCTCAATCAGTTTGGGACATCCCTTGTTCTTCTCCCGCTAAATCACTTTGGGATTTCTTATGTAGACGATAATGCCACAAATGCAGATAGAAAAGAGGACTTACCGCTGACTAATAACATAACTGTCGTAAACGTGACATAAAGCAGGCGCTGGCTTCCTCCGCTTCCTTTCCTGATCCTTCTTAAACCCAAAAACTCCACTTCCACCAGCATAGGGAGGAAAGAATGTCGTGTCTACAGAGGTTTTCCTGTGCACAGCCACCATCGCACCGTGCTGCCTTTCTGCTGTTCTTTGTTAACATCCCCATCAGGCCACAACTGTGCTGAATGAGTCCATAGCTTATGGAATTTCCCAGGGAGTTGAAATTTAAATGATTTCATAGCTCAAAATCCAGGATGTTTTTTTCCCCCTGGGCTTTATTACCTCACATTTTTAACTTAACCTCAACTGTCAAGTCTTCTGTTGCCCTCTTGGAGAATAATAGTAGTAATTTATTTATCAGATTAGCAACCGGGGCTCAAACAATCCCCATACTTCATGTGTTGATTTACTCATCTCTATTTTTGTCCCAACTGTCATTTTTCCTTTACATATGCATGAGGGAATGTTGCATTTCCACCAGTTATTACGTTAGCACAAGCTCGTGGCATTAAGACAAGCGCAGCTGCTTGTTTTAATGGACGTCTTACTGTGTTTGGGATTTACTTGTTGCTGAATGTCATCCAAGTTAGCAATACCTCCTTGTGTGGTTGATACTGTACATGACACAGGTGTAATCAGCCAGCCAGGACACAAGTTAACACATCACAGCCTCACTTGTGTTGTAACCTCTACCTATTTACCATTGCTGATCATTTCCTTGTTTTGAGGTCATCGTTTCTTTTTTTTAAAGAAAAGCCTTGTGTTTTATTATTTTTTTTTGTTTTTTCACGTCGTTCTCCATTCCCCTAGGCTCAGTTGAGTAACCCCCAGCTCAGTAGCCTACAGGGTAAAAGTAAAATGCTCCCTCTTATTGAGGAGGCATGGAGTCTGCCAATCCCAGCCGAGCTAACCTCCAGGCAGGGAGGCCTGAGCAGTGCACCACAGCAGGTGAGAGACCAGATAGAGCAACTTACACCCCTCCTCCAACCCTCCCTCACCCAACCCCTTCCTCTCCCATCCCTCCCTTCCTCCTCCCTTTGAGTGCACACTCGAGACACATAATCGTAATGTACACACAGACATACCTGCAGGTCAAACACAAGAGCATGCACTGTTGCACATACGCACGGGTAACACTTGAGCGCAACGCCACCTCCCACACAGAGAAAACAGCCCACGCTGCAACATGAACGTTGACCTCCTTGCAACACTGTAAGCACTCAGTTTCTGTTTCAATTGGCGACCGCAATTCGTCCGTGGCAGCTTTAATGCGTCCCTATTGAAACGCGGAGGCGTGTCCGGCCAAGTGTTACCCCCCCCTGCACCCCCCCTCTTTTCCCCAGCGCACCATGCTCGGCTTCACCCATCACGCTCAAATAAAAAAAAAATAAAAAAATTCAAAGCACTTATGCAGGTTTCTCTCCCACCCCCCACATTTAATTTCTCCTTCAATCAATCCTGCTTTTAATCCAATGTGGTATATTCAGGATTACACCCCCTGCAGTTCACAGATAAATCCCACTTTTAGGAGGCAAACTTGTTCAACCTGGGCCGCACTGTTTTGCTCTTAATCTGCTTTGGTGCGGACCAGGACAAAATTGCCTTTGTGAAGAGATTAAAGTGCTTTAATTCAAAGTCAAGTGGCTGTGTTTCTAATTCTCAGTGACGTTTTGGGCCCGTTCTTTTTTTGGCTTTTTACCCATGCCCCGGTGTGATTGGTGAGGTCGTGCTGGCGTAGCGTTGGCCCAGGCTTCCCACTGGCTCTGTCCCATCTTCCTCCCCTCCGTCCTCTTCAGTAGTTGACCTTAGATGTCCTGCAGCTGCTCACAACGCCCCTCAGCAACGCCCCCTAGTGTCCCCCCCATCATCACTTCATTCATCCACGCTCATCATACAGTAGATGCGAGTGGTTCTGTTGTGTCCCATGTTTGTGTGCGTGATCATTGTTGTGCTATTGACCCGTGGGCATTGGAATATGTTGATTTTTAGCAGCTTTGACTTGGTGAGAGTCAATTCACTGTGAGACCTATTCCAGTGTGAATGGAGCTGAGAAGTTAACAGATGGATGGATTTAAAATGGTCCAGATGTGACAGATGTGAATGTTGTATATTACATTTAAGAAATCTTACTCAATCGATTATTGATTTTGTTTTTATAATGCAAGAAATATTTTTCATGCAAGACATTCTTGTACCAAAAAAGAGAAAATAAGAAATATTTTGGGAAACTACATTTCTGATCAGTCACATCTGGCTCATAGGCTCCCTCAGAGGTCACGGTAAGGCTCTGCAGTGTGTGAAACGTGTTGTAATCCTTGGTTTTAAAAGTCGAGTTCTGCTCAAACTGCTGCAATTCCCTTCACACTCTGAAAATGAAAAGCACTGAATTTCTGTGAAGAATCATAGCGAGTCACTGTGACGACTGTGAGCGCTGCGGGTGTTGATGAGAAGCGCTAGTGGTACATTTCCACCAGCATTCCTCTTAACAGGAGAAATCCCCCCGGGCTGTCGCTGCCCTATGAAGCAACACCTTCAGATCCACAGGAATGTTTGGCTCGACATGTCCTGCTTATTTGTTTATGCGCCAGCATCCAATGACAATATTGCTCTCCTTTTTTTCCTCTCTTCCTTTTTCTCCATCCCCTGCTTTATTTGCACCTCTTCCTCCCTTTTGCCGCTTTACGCCTCGGTAAATAAACAACGCATTATTGCTTTTTATTCCCTCCCCCATCCTCCCTGCATTTTATATTCCACACCCAATTTCCTTTTCCTCTATTCCATCTATCCTCCTGTTTTCTGTGGCCTTTATGTCCTCCTTTTGTTTCCCATTTTGCCTGCGCCTCCGCCACCCCTTTCCCTATAGGCTTGTAAGCCCAATCACAGTGCAGAGGGAGGGGGCTCGGGTCAGTCTCTGCCCCCTCACTTGGGCTCGCTGGGCCAAGCAGAGGACCAGTCCTGCCCAGCCAAGAGGAAGAGAGCCTCCAGCCCAACTAAGGTAAATCTATTGGTAACTCTCATAATATGCAGAGTTAAACCCATGCATTTTAAAGCCTGTTTCCTTAATTTAACCTAAAATGTCTTTTTATCTCCAGGGTGAATTATGGGCCAGTAATCCAGCACAGCCAGTTCCCAGCTGGTACCTCTCCCCACAGAAATTACAGGTTGGCAACTTAGTATTTTATATAATTGTTTTTAAAGTCGTCTTAGCTGAGGCTGCATCCATTTTCCACTCTCGCATGAGCTAATGGGGGGGTTTGTCCCCGTCTGTCCTTCAGGTGCTGGAACAGTTGCGGAGTAACCGCGCCAGCTTGAAGCCACCGCAGCTTCAAATGTTGGAGCAGCTGGAGGCTCAGTTCGCCATGATGCAGCAGCACCAGCACCAGGTAAAAAAACTACGTGCACGCACATCAGACTTGAGTCAAAGACCAAATAACCTATACGAGCTTTATCTTATACATCTTTTACATCATACGCATAAGTAGCTTGTGCCTTGTTTGTACATGATGCACACATGTACCCATGATGGGAAGAAAAAAAATTCTGTTTAAAACGTCAAAAATGTAACATACAGAACATGTATGCATAAAGATCTACGCCTGTCTATGCCTATCACATGTGACTCAGTCTGCTCACATCCTGGCATGTGTGGTCACATAATACAACAAATGTTGACCGGTGACTCATCAGGTGTGTTTTTCCGATCTGAGCTCACCCTTCGGGTTCTTCAGCCAGTTTTACTCAAATATAATAAATAACCTCCAGGTAAGATATTGATTTTAAGCTTTACTTGGATTTTGTGTTTTCTTTAGCAGATGAGACAGAATGCCTCAGGAGGTCAGGTGCGTCCCTCTCTCCCCAACGGCCCCACCTCCAACTCCCTCCCCTCCAACTCCCTCCCCTCCCCAAACCCCAGCCTCCACCCCGCCAGGCCCCACCTGGGACTCCACCGGCCCCTGTGCCCGCCGCAGCTGCTGGCCAACGGGCCCATGGGCCCCGGGACGCAAGGACCCTCGGACTCCCTCCCCGTGGGCGACAACAGTAAGAGTAGTAACAGTAGTAGTAATAATCAGCCAGGGCCGACGGACACAGGGCCCAACGGAGACGTGCCTTACCTGCAACCTGCCGGCAGCGGCGACCCAACACTGCTACCTCACACCTGCACAAGCACGCAAACACAGGACGTTGCGCCGCACCAGGCCCTGCACCTAAACACCTCTCAGGTGAGACGTCGTCACAACATCCTCATTCTCTGGAAAAGAGGGTGGAGTCCACAACTCTTACTTTACGCTCCTGGTTATAAAAATCATTCGTTTAAACGTCAGATTATTGTAAATATGTTTGCAGCTTTATTAAAGACCCTCAGTGCTTTGTTTTAACTGCCAATCTGAATAGTTGCTGTCTTCTTCCTTCAGGGGCTTCAGAGAGGGTCTATTCCACATGCGATGGGCTCCAACAGTGACGGGGCCCCCTCTCACTCGCAGACCCCCAACTCCACTGCCCCTGTGCACCCCAACAATCAGGTTGGACATTCCACTAACGCCCCATCGCCACAGCAGCAGCCTCACAACCACCTCCCATCCCCTCCCTCCCTCCCGCACTCCTCTACCTCAGGTGGAGCAGCACCCGGTGCGTCCGCTACCAAAGATAGCAACACCACAGCCGCCCTTGCCACAGCGGCCGCATCCCTTGGCAACGGGGGCACGGAGGGCAAGACGCCATCACCGCTGCCGTCGGCTGATGGCAAAAAGGCACAGGCAGATGGCCTCGGCAATCATGTCCACTCGGGGGATGGCGGCAAGATGGCAGAAGGTGGCGAGAAGCCGAGCCTTAGCGCAGACAATCTTAGACTTTCTGCCCTGCTGGCGGGGGGGAAGGGGCCTGATGTGGGCGAGGGACCGTCAGAAGGGACTGTATCCACAGCATCCGCCACGCCCGAGACCCACAAGAAAGTCAACAACATCCACCCGGCCGTCCTGCCCTCAACCCCCCACGCGCAGGGCAGCTCGGCCGCCTCCTCGCCCATCTCCGCCATGTCCACGGCCACGCCCTCACCCAAATCCTCAGAACACACCCAAACTGGGGTCCACAGTCCTGCCACCGCATCCGCCACTGTCACCACCGCTACATCTTCTGCACCGGCCGTGAATGGTAACGGCAAAGGGGGCATCTCTGAGGACTCCCAGAGCCCGCAGAAGGCCGAGCCGCCTGCCATCACGGGTCTTAAAGCTACGCCCCCACATGGACACAGCTCGTCATCGTCATCTTCAGTCTCCATCTACCCCAGCTCCACAGACGTGCTTAAGGCCTGCAGGTGAGACTGCACTGCCTCGTGTTATTTCTACTATTCAGCTTCCTGCAGATGCTGCCTCATGCTCTAGCTTGAAGATAATACCAAAAGGAATTCAGCCTTGGTTGATATGTTTCTTGCAAGTTTTCCAAAATGATATAGACATAAAGTTGAGTGTGACACCTTATTGTATTTACAGTCGGTGCAAATGAGGACATGCAGCAGTTGAACTGTGTGTTTTTTACTTTTGAAGATATCTCCTCCCAGTGGATTAGCAGTGTAACTGCAGGAACTGAGGAAAATGTTATGTAACTGTAAACAACACTGAAGGCGACTGGGCAGTCTTGTTGCCATGCAGATATTAGTCCGAACAGACTTGAATGGTTTCCTCCATTTGGTTGCAGTTTTAAATTTGATAATTTACAAGGTATTTAAATACATGAGATGTGAGGTATGAGACTATTGAGACAAGTCTAAGGGTGAATGACATATTTTACAGGAACCTGGGGAAGAACGGTCTCTCCAACAGCAGCATCCTCCTTGATAAGTGCCCCCCGCCCCGGCTACCCCCGCCACCCTCGCCAGTCCTGCCCAAAGACAAGCTCAACCCCCCCACACCCAGCATCTATGTAAGTACGACTCAGGGGCAGACGCCAGCAGTTTTAAGATGCATGAAACATTATCTGTATGGATTTTAACTTTCCTGTTTTCTGCCCGACCAGCTGGAGAACAAGAGGGATGCTTTCTTCCCCCCTCTGCACCAGTTCTGCACAAACCCCTCCAACCCCGTCACTGTCATCAGAGGACTAGCTGGAGCTCTCAAACTGGGTAAATTCTTTGTTTATAATATGTTATGCTGCATTGCATATTTTTTCATTAAATTAAGTTTATAAAGCCGTCTCTGCCATTTCTCTGCAGACCTAGGTCTGTTCTCCACAAAGACGCTGGTGGAGGCCAACCCCGAGCACCTGGTGGAGGTCTGGACTCAGCTCTCACAGCCTGCCGACGAGAACTGGGACCCGGCCGGCACCAAGAAAATGTGGCGCTGCGAAAGCGCCCGCGCCCACACCACTATCGCCAAATACGCCCAGTATCAGGCTGCTTCCTTCCAGGAATCCCTGCGGGTCAGTTATGTTTTGAACTGCGCCCCCTGGAGTCCACTTAAAAGAAACATATTTAGGATCAGATCAGAGAGACAGAAGGAGATCTGATGATACTTTCTTGTTTGTTTTCAGGAGGAGAATGAGAAAAAGGCATTGAAAGAGCCCTCGGACGCAGAGCCAGCATCAGCAGAGAGGTACGTGATGTTTGGATTTTTTGTTTTCTCCTTCAGAAAGCTCCAGACTTTTAAATATTTTATTTGCGCCAGTATTTACTTTGGTTTGGCTTGGCTGAATTGTTTGAGGGATGGTTTTAAAAGCAAAACAATATCCAGCATGTGAGCCACCACCCAAGAAATTATAGTTCAGACGCTATGTCATATTGTTTGGCACCTTTTCGCTGACCAACTTCTGCTACGTCCCCCTTTCTTGAGTGTAACATTGGAAAATGGTGACCAATGGCTAATTTTATATCCATGTGTATCACCAGTGTTGCTCGCAAGAGAAGAGGACCCTTAAAGCACATCAAGTTTGGAACCAACATCGATGTGTCGGACGAAAGGAAGTGAGTGTGGATTTCCTCCTGCTCTTGACACTGATTATTTCTGATCAAAAGCCGGTGACTTCATAATCTCCTCATCTTCATTCTCTACCAGGTGGAAACAGCAGCTCCAGGAGCTCAGCAAACTCCCGGCCTTCGCTCGAGTCGTATCAGCCGGTAACCTGCTGAGCCACGTGGGTCACACCATCCTGGGTATGAACACGGTTCAGCTCTACATGAAGGTCCCCGGGAGCAGGATAGCAGGTCAGTGCTTATTTCTGTGGCGGGTTATTGCTTCAGTCAGTTTTGATGTGTAGGTTTGCTCAGTGAGGATTTTCCGCTTTTGTCTCTCCAGGTCACCAGGAGCACAACAACTTCTGTGCCGTCAACATCAACATCGGACCAGGAGACTGTGAGTGGTTCGCTGTGCCCGAGCCTTACTGGGGAGTGATGAGCAACTTCTGTGAAAAGTAAGATGATCTTCTCTCCTTTCTCCTTTCTCCTCTTTCTTTCATGCATCCATCACAATTCTCTCTCTCCCCCTCACCTCCAGGAACAACATCAACTTCCTGATGGGCTCGTGGTGGCCCAACCTGGAGGACCTGTACGAGGCCGACGTGCCTGTTTACCGGTTCATCCAGCGGCCGGGCGACCTGGTGTGGCTCAACACTGGCACCGTGCACTGGGTGCAGGCCATTGGCTGGTGCAACAACATTGCATGGAATGTGGGACCTCTCACGGGTACGGGCATTGAATCATGGGATATTGGTTAACGTTGCAGATACAGTACACTGAGACAATCTTTTAGGATTTGAAGACAAGTAAAACAACATCTGGTAATGCAGCAGTGGGAAAGTTTCTATATTTACTCTTTAATCAGGAGGTACTGTATATCTCATGTGACCTTTCCTGTGATATTTAAAATGTTATTTTTGCTAATTATTTGACCTTTTGAAAAAGGTCAAATAAGGTTTCCATATTACTCGGTGCATCCCAGCTTTTGGTCTTAACATCGACCTCGGATACGTTTTAAATCTTAATCTTTATCTGCAATTTCAGCTCACCAGTACAAGCTGGCGGTGGAGCGTTACGAGTGGAACAAGCTCCAGAGCGTCAAGTCGATGGTTCCCATGGTGCACCTCTCCTGGAATATGGCTCGCAACATCAAAGTGTCTGACCACAAGCTGTTTGAGATGATCAAGTGAGTCACAGAATCCGTCACATTTAGCACTTTGAGATTGTTTGAATTAGACGTCTTTTTAAATGATGTGTTCTTGTGGCAGGTACTGCTTGCTGCGGACATTGAAGCAGTGCCAGAGTGTGAAGGAAGCCTTGGTGTCAGCGGGCAAGGAGACCGTACTGAAGCCGAGGACCAGGGACGAACCGGCTCACTACTGCACCATCTGCGAGGTCAGTGGAGCGCACTGGGAACATTTTGGCGCCATGGCATGCGAATTCAAACAGGATCTCACATCGCTCAAAACTCGTTTTCTGATTGTCTCGACATGTGCTTGCTCCCGCTCACATCCTGAATAACACAATGACAGTTTGCTTGCTTCAGTGTCGTGCACCGAAGACCGACTTCATTTCAGCCCACTAACAGCTAATGCTAATGGTTGATGGATGATTTGAGTGCAGGGCTCTCGGCTGTCGAGCAGAAACATCTCAGTTTAACATCTGCTGTTATTGTGTCGTAGCAATCGTTCCATTACTCACTGTCTGTGCAGCAGCTCCAGGATCAGTCTGTTCATGACATCATCGCTGCAGTCTGTGCCTGCAGTTCATCCTCACGCAGAGCTCTAGAGCAAAAGTGTGTTTTTAAATAAATAAAGCATGTGCGTACTTCACAGGTGGAGGTGTTCGACCTGCTGTTTGTGCGCCGCGAGCTCCTCTCCAAGAAGCAGCATGTGGTCCACTGCCAGGACTGCGCCAGGAAGGGCAGCGCAACACTGGACGACTTTGTGGTGCTGGAGCAGCACAGGATGGAGGACCTGATGCAGGTCTACGACCAGTTCACATTAGTAAGTCGCTCGGCAGAGTGAAGGAGAGCTGGACTTCTCTCAGAGTACTGGACCCAGTACGGATTTATCTGACACAAACTTTTTTCAGTGCCGATGGTTGAAAGGTTCTCATTTCAGTCCCATTCCTTTAAATTTAGAGGTAGAAATTTAAGCCCGACCAATATATAGTTTATGTTTGCTGATATGGAAACTTTTATTTTACACAAAAGATTTGCATTAATGTTTCCATTCATGGAAAAAAAAAATTCTTATTTCAGGTTGGTTTTATATGTGAGTCTAGTTGCTGGCTGTAGGTGTGCTACATTATCTGTTGACCTTTTATTGTGTTTGTTCATTTGACTGACAGGTGAACAGCTGAGGTTTTGATCGCAGGTGCTCTCACTGCAGATTTCCATCTCAGCAGTCCAATAGCTGGTTTGCAGTTTCTCTGCTCGACTAGACAGTATCTCATCAGGCAGCTCAGAGACAAACTTCTCCAGGGGATTGAACAAAATGTTGCTTGTCTCTGCAGCACCTTGCGTAGTTGTGAAATTGTGGTAAACTTATGACAGTTGTTAATGAGATGTTTGGCACGATGCCCCCACTGACGGGATGCAGACCAAAGCTTCTGCAGCTGTTGAGTCCAGGACTGTGTGTTCTGGACCTGGTGGATCTTTTAAAGCTGCCAGAGTTAAAAGAACTCATTGATTCATCAATCTCTCCCCAGGTCTCCAGCATTTACCTCAGCCAAAAGCAATTCTTCTCACTGGTTTAGTGCCACAAGATGTCCTGACATTATAACTGCCCTACAAAGGCGAAACAAATTCAAGGTAGCTGTTACAGCAGCTAGCCCTAGCTAAAGGTAAAACTAAATGTATTGCCTAAAGCCCTATTTGTAACTGAAGGTATAAATGTAGACAAACTGCCGTCTTGTTAGCTGTAGCAAACAGATACATGTTAAAAATGGTAAATGTTTGAAATAATTGTGATATTGATTGACAAGAAATGAGAAAACATTTTTATATCACCCTGCATTTTCCTTTCCCATTAAACAACTGCTCAGTTTCGACATGTATTACTTTTGGGTTTATAGCTCCACTACTTTCTGAAACATTTATTAGATGAATTGTCATTACATTTTCTACAGATATTCATGGTGCCCAGAGGATATTTTGGTGATCCTGTCTCTCTGTCTTACTATAGTGCTACTAGCAAGTAAAAGTTATCCAGATTCATTCTGTATCTTAGCCTCTCCTGGTACAGAATTTGGCATTGTCCCCTGAGGATGAATCCCAATAGCTCTGGTGAAGCCCTGACTTTTCTCTTTGGAGCTTTAAAGTCTTCTCTTATCCGAATTAATTGTGTCAAAGTGATCATTCAATCCAACAATCATCAGATTGCTATGTTATTTGGTGCAGACATTGCTGGTCCCTTGAGGATGATCACAGCGGTGCTCCTGTGACTTTTTATATTGCACCACCGAGAGGTCAAAGTTTATGACCAAATGCCTGCAGAGCTAATGACATTCCTCCGCTGTAAGATGAAGACTCTGTTTATATCTGTTTGCAAGTGAGCCTGAAAACTTTTAATGCCTTTTATTCTCTTAAAGTGCACTGCTGCTGCTTTCTGCCTTTATCTGCCAGATTAACAGAGACAGACCTTTAAGGTGGATCTGACGTCTCCTGATTTATCATGTCTGTCTGCAAAATGGGAACTCTTCTTTTTTTTTTAAGAAGTCTTTCCACTGAAAATTCCTTTCTTTCTTATCTCCCTGGAGAGCACTGGGAGGAATGCAGTGAATAATAAAAACACTTAGATTGCTTGTAAGTGCTGGCCTGTGTGAGCTTGTAGGAAGTTTAATGAGATTTTCTGATTGGGAGCTGAGGGGGGGGAGGAAGTCTCGCTGTATTCATGGGCATCTCTTCTTCACGCAGGCCCATCTATCTATCCACAGAGCAGCCTCTCCACAGGCTCACACTATATTTCACTCAGATTACAGTGAGAGAGAGCAAAGAGGGAGAGGTGAGGAGGAGGAAAGACGAGGAGAAAACACAAAGGTTGTTTGTTTCACTGTTGCAGAAGACACACAGTCGTTCTAGACATTTTATCAATTCACTACACTTTGAACCAGAGAGAATGTGCTGCAGCTGATAGTGTCGCTCTGAAAAACACGTTTCTCACGGTCCAGAGAACATGTATAGCGGCGTCTCGTCCTTTACTTGCCCCTCATTATTCTCTGTGTGTCATATCTAATGTTCTGCAACAAAGTGAGGAATTATTTGGCATGGCCACCTTATTCCAGCAGCTCTGTCCCGCTTCATGTGAAATCCTTTCAGCCCCGTCTTTCACTGAGCTCTTTGCACGATTAGAGGGAACAAGTGACTGATCAGATATGACGTGAATCAAAAATATCCTGTAGGGGTCCAGGGGGAAGTGATTGGGTTTGACAAGACTTTTGGTTAAAGTCACAGTGATGGTGATATTTTATTATTTGTAATTATAGCTCTTTACTATTCTGACAAAGAGGTTATCTTTTGGTTCGTCTGTTTGTTTGTAAACAGGATTTAACAAAAACACAAAATCAGATTACTTCAATTCCTGGTGGAATGATGAGACACAGGCACGAGAAAGAATCCATTACATTTTGGGGGCGGATCTGAATAAAGCAGCAGATCCAGGAATTCTTTGATTACTCTTGTTAATCTTGCATTTCTTTTACTTTTCTCTTGGAATAATCTGCCGATCTTGTTGTAGCTTGATTGAATTTAAGACAACTGTTTGGCCTTGGTGGAGGTTTGTGCTCTACTCAGTTTTAAAAGCGGCAGGGAAAATACCTAATTACACAGAACTGACAATTATGTTTCCTGGGAGAGGCAGTGGAAGCTGGATCAAACAGTTTGTTAAAAACGGGGTCAAGTGCACATGAGGGCACAAGTGTATAATTTTATTTTGTTGATCGTGAAACTGATTTCATTGTCGGTTATAGTTCTGTGTGGAAACTCACTGACCAGTAGATCCCAGTTTATAAATCTGTCTTTGCTTGTACTAACTCTAATGTTCTCCTTTAAGTTGTGTTTTCATATTTTACGATTACAGGATTTTATCGATCAGTTATGTTGCACGAACACAAATAACGCTGTTGGTTTTATTATTAATGATTAAGTGGATTAATAGTTTTGATTCAATTAGCCACCCCATGTCTGCATCGCATCACTATAACAAATGAGATATGCCAGAAATGAAAAGACAGTCACATGGTTAAGAACAATCTTTTACTTTGTGGAGATCTCCACACACATCGACATTAAACGTGATTTTACAAGGAGAGTTTTACTGTCACACCCAGCAGTAACACACATCCACGACGTTTTACAGGTGAAAACAACAAACAACAGGACATCTCATAAGGTGCTTCTTAATATGCAACAGGAATGTTATGAAAAACGTCCACATATTCTACAGAGACACCAATACTGCATCTACATATATAATATAAAACAATCTACACAAAAATAGAGCAAATATTTACAGAACAGACTATTTACAACATCAAAACAAGCTGA